AAAAAAAAAAAAAAAACAAAAAAACAGGAGCAGAAGATATAATTCTGGTATAGCTTATAGAACATGAACATTTTAATATTTGAGGCTGGGCACCATGGCTCACGCCTGTAATCCCAACACTTTGGGAAGCGGACTTGGGTGGATCATTCGAGGTCAGGAGTTCAAGACCAGCCTGGCCAACATGGCAAAACCCCATCTCTACAACAAATACAAAAATTAGCCATGCATGGTGGCAAGCACCTATAATCCCAACTACTTGAGAGGCTGAGACAGGAGAATTGCTTGAACCTGGAAGGTGGAGGTTGCAGTGAGCCAAGATTGTGTCACTGTATTCCAGCCTGGGGGACAAAATAAGACTGTCAAAAAAAAAAAATTGAGTCTGAGCAGCTTCTGAGATGCGAACTATACTGCTGAAAAGGCAATAAGACACACAGGTGAGGGCAAATTAAAATCACAATTGTATAATACTACACATCTATCAGAAATTCGCAAATTAATGACTAACAGGTAGTAGTAATGATGTGGAAAAACAGCTGATATTTGCATGAATACAGTAATTAAAGCAAATTACAGATACAATTGTCTAGGAAGAGAATGAGGAGAAAACAACTGCTCCTTGGGGAATTTCAATAATTGGGATACAGAATAATAAGCCTAAAAAGGAGACTAAGAAGGGAAGCATGAGATGGAGGACAGTTAAAGGAAACAGCAGGTGAAGAAAGCAGCAGGGAGACATATAGAAAAAGAGGGTGCATTCCAAATATGCAGGGACGCTTTGGGGATAGTCTAAGTTTGGTTCTAGACCACCACACTAAAGCAATTATCATAACAAAGTGAGTCACACAATTTTTTTGTTTTCCCAGTACACACACAAGTTTTGTTTACATTATGCTGTAGTCTATAATAAACTATGCATTAGCATTATTTCTAAAAATGTATATACCTTATTTAAAAGGAAAAAAACTTATCACTAAAAAATGCTAACTGTGAGATGCTTAATCTCAGCCTTAGATGAGCTGTAATTTTTTCTGGTGTAAGCTCTTGTCTCAGTACTGATGGTTGATGGCTGATGAGGATAGTGGTTGCTGAAGGCTGGAGTGGCTGTGGCCATTTCTTAAAATAAGACAACAATGAAGTTTGCCACGCAGACTGACTCTTCCTTTCACAAAAAGATTTCTCAGTAGCGTGAGATGCTGTTTGATAGCATTTTACTCACAGCAGAACTTCTTTCAAAATTAGTCACTCCTCTCAAACCGTGACACTGCCTTACCAACAAAGTTTATGTAATATTCTAAATCTGTTGTTGTCATTTCAACCATGTTCAAAACATCTTCACTGGGACTAGATTCCATCTCAAGAAACCACTTTTTTTTTTTGCTCATCCATGGGAAGCAACTCTACATCTGTTCAAGTTTTATCATGAGATTGCAGCGAGTCAGTCACATCTTCAGACTCTACTTTTAATTCTAGTTTTCTTGATACTTCTACCACATTTGTAGTTACTTGGAAGTAATCCATGAGGGTTAGAACCAACCTCGTGCACACTCCTGTTAATGTTGGTATTCTGACCTCCCATAAATCATGCATGTTCTCATGCATCTAGAATGGTGAAGACTTTCCAGGTTTTCAATGTACTTTGCCCAGATCCATCAGAGGACTTATGGCAGCTACAGCCTTACAAAGTGTATTTCTTAAATAATAAGACTTCAGTTGAGATGGCTTCTTGGTCCCTGGGCTGCAGGACAGATGTTGTATCAACAAACATGAAAACATAAATTTCCTTGTACAGCGCCATCAGAGCTCTTGAGTGATGAGATAGGAGCAGTAACATTTTGAAAGGAATTCTTTTCTTTTTTTTCCTGAGTGACAGGTCTCAACAGTGGGCTTAAACTATTCAGTAAACCATGCTGGATTAGTAAACAGGTGTACTGTCATCCAGGCTTTATTGTTCCATTTACAAAACACAGGTAGAGTAGATTTAGTATAATTCTTACAGGTCCTAGGATTGTTGGAATGATAAATGAGCACTGGTTTTAACTCAGGGTTACCAGCTGCATTAGCCCTAAAACGAGTCAACCTGTCCTTTTGAAGCTTTGGAGCAAAGCATCGACTTCTCTCTTGCTATGAGAGTCCTAGATGGCATCTTCTTACAATAGAAGGCTGTTTTGTCTACACTGAAAATTTGCTGTTTAGCAAAGCCACCTTCAAGTATCTTAGCTAGATCTTTTCGATGACTTGTTGCAGCTTCTGCATTAGTACTCCCTTGCACTTTTATGTTATGGAAATGACTTCTTTCCGTAAACCTCATGAAGCAACCTCTGCTAGCTTCACACTTTTCTTCTGCAGCTTCCTCACCTCTCTTAGCCTTCATAGAACTGAAAAGAGCTAGGGCTTTGTTATGGATTAGGTTTTGGCTTAGGTAATGATGTGGCTGGTCTGATCATCTAAGCAGACCTCCATATCAGCAATAAGGCTGTTCTGCTTTCTCATAATCTGTCTGTTGGCTAGAACAACACTTTTAATTTCCTTTAAAAATTTTTCCTGCACTTTGGGAGGCAGAGGAGGGGAGATCACATGGTCAGGAGTTCAACATGGTGAAGCCTTGTCTCTACTAAAAAAAAAATACAAAACTTAGCTGGGTGTAGTGACACGCTCCTGTAATCCCAGCTACTCTGGAGGCTGAGGCAGGAGAACTGCTTGAACCTGGGAGGTGAAGACTGCAGTGAGCCAAGATCGCACCAGTGCACTCCAGCCTGACAACAGAGCAAGACACTAACTCAAAAAAAAATTTTTTCCTTTCCATTCACAACTTGGCTACTGGCACCAGAGGTCTAGCTTTTGACCTATCTTGGCTTCTGACATGGCTTCCTCATGAAGCTTAATCATTTCTAGTTTTTGATTTAAAGATAAAGATGTACAACTCTTCTTTTCACGTAAAAACTCAGAAACAGGCTGGGTGCAGTGGTTCACGCCTGTAATCCCAGAACTTTGGAAGGCCAAGGAAGGTGGATCACGAGGTCAAGTGTTCAAAACCAGCCTGGCCAAGATTGTGAAACCCCAGGCTGGGCACGGTGGCTCAAGCCTGTAATCCCAGCACTTTGGGAGGCCGAGGCGGGTGGATCATGAGGTCAAGAGATCGAGACCGTCCTGGTCAACATGGTGAAACCCCGTCTCTACTAAAAAAATACAAAACATTAGCTGGGCATGGTGGTGCGTGCCTGTAATCCCAGCTCCTCAGGAGGCTGAGGCAGGAGAATTGCCTGAACCCAGGAGGCGGAGGTTGTGGTGAGCCGAGATCGAGCCATTGCACTCCAGCCTGGGTAACATGAGTGAAACTCCGTCTCAAAGAAAAAAAAAAAAAAAAGATTGTGAAACCCCATCTCTACTAAAAATACAAAGTTAGCCAAGCATGGTGGCACATGTCTCTAATCCCAGCTATCTGGGAGGCTGAGGCAGAAGAATTGCTTGAATCTGGGAGGTGGAGGTTGTAATGAGCCAAGATTGCGCCAATGCACTCCACCCTAGGTGACACAGCGAGACTCTGTCTTAAAAAAAAAAAACTCAGAAACAATTGGAGGGTTATTAATTGGCCTAATTTCAATATTCCTGTGTCTTAAGGAAAAGGGAGGGCCAAGGAGAGGGAGAGTGACGGGGAAACAATTGGTCAGTGGAGCAGTCAGAATACCCACAACATTTATTGATTAAATTTACTGTCTTACGTAGGTACAGCTTGTGGTTCCTCAAAACAATTAAAATAGTAAGCTCAACGACCACTGATCACAGATCCCCCGAAAAGATGTAATAATAACTTGAGTCTGAAATATTGTGAGATTACCAAAATGTGACACAGGCTCACCACAAACTGAATTTGTTAAACATACAGTATCTGCAAAGTGCAATAAAGTGAAGCACAATAAAATGAAGTGTGCCTGTATAGACATATTTTGCATAAACTTAAGCTTTCATAATAATAATAATAAAAAAAGATATACTAGTTGAGTATCACTATACATTTTTATGCTGTCTTCTATTTTCTAACTGAAGACAAAAATATAGTTGGCACCAGTTGGACAAGACAGAAGACATCATACAAACTATGTGGCCATTTTGTGTAAGTATCTAAAATAAAATAACTTTACCATTTTTCTCTTCCACTAGGTAAATTTCATTAATTAAGAAACAATTTACCAGCACGCCTGTAATCCTCACATGTTGGGAGGCCAAGGAAGGAGGATCCCTTGGGCCCAGAAGTTCAAGACTAGCCTGTGCAACGTGGTGAAACCCCATCTCTACAAAAAAATACAAAAATTAACCAGGCATGGTGGTGCACACCTGTAGTCCTAGCTACTCAGGAGGCTGAGGTGGGAGGATCATTTGAACCCAGGAGATCGAGGCTGCAATGAGCCATGACCATGCCACTGCATTCCGGCCTGGGCAACAGAGTGAGACTCTGTATTAGACAAAAAAAAAAGGGAACAATTAACCATTTCTAGTGAGCATAAGGCAGCATCTATGAGGATAACATAATGGCTATAATAACGTCTCCATAATCAAGCTTATTATAATCTAATGTAAGATATGTTTATCAATAATAATAAAAGAAGCAGAAAATAATTCATAGAAAGAAAAAAATTGAGTGACTTCCCAGTATCAATGAAATTTGGGCAATCTCAAGAAGGCCAACTGGATCTTGTAATTTTTCTTACAATCATTAAATTAATTTGCCATTAATTTGTTTATAAAAAATTCAAATCTAAAAATAAGAATCTTACTTTCAGGTGTTTTTTTCTGCCATTGACTGAGTTCAGCAGTTAAACATTTTACTTGCATAATTAATAATGACAGCTATAAAAGAAGAAAACAAAGTCATTTTCTGTGGACTGCTCATAGATGGAAATATAAACATTCTTAACACTTTAATACTTAGAGGGTTGGCATCCCTAACTCACACGTTGTTCAAGAGGCAACTTCATTTTAATTCTTAATCTGTTCCACGGATCCACTCCGAAGCCAATTCCATTAAGTCTTGATTATTAAAATAGATATCTTAATCCTTTTTTTAAGCCAAGAGTAATGTCAATTCAGATTTGACACAGATAGTAAAACATCTGTGACTATTATACCTAACACAAAGTTAGCAGTCTTTGTTCTAATGTATATATATATTTTTGAGATGGTCTTGCTTTTTCTCTCGCGTTGGAATGTAGTGGCACAAATCTCAGCTTATTGCAGCCTCTGCCTCCTAGGTTCAAGTGATTCTCATACCTCAGCCTCCTGAGTAGCTGGGATCATAGAAGCACACCACCAACACCAGCGAATTTTTTTGGATTTTTGTTAAAAACGGGGTTTTGCCATGTTGGCCAGGCTGGTCTTTGTTCTAATTTTAACAAGGTAGCATAACAGCAACCAATAAGCAATTTACTCAGTTGTTAAACATATGTATCACTGTTAAAAGACAAATAATAAAGAAAATACTCTCTGCTGGGCAAGGTGGCTCTCGCCTGTAATCCCAGCACTTTGGGAGGCTGAGGTGGGTGGATCACGAGGTCAGCAGTTCGGGACCAGCCTGACCAACATGGTGAAACCCCATCTCTACTAAAAATGCAACAAAAATAGCTGGGTGTGGTGCCAAGTACCTATAATCCCAGCTACTTGGGAGGCTGAGGCAGGGGAATTGCTTGAACCAGGGTGGTGGAGGTTGCAGTGAGCCGAGATCATGCCATTGCACTCCAGCCTGAGTGACTGGGACTCCATCTAAAAAAAATAAATAAAAATAAATAAAAAAGAAAATACTCTCTTATTTTATGACAGCTTGTTCTAGAAACTTTTTAGAATATTATCCCAACTCTTACAGCAGAAAGAACAAGAAGTTTTCCAAATGATTAAACATACAAGTATTAACAAAGCTATTAAACTTGAGAAAAATATAGACACATATACTTACTTTCCAAAATACAATGAATGCCACTTACCTATTTTTAGGAAGAAAAAGAAGATGCATACCTTAGCATTTAAATCAGTGAGTGTTTCAGTTCCAGTAAGTGACAATTTATTCTGACACTTGATTTAAAAAGTAAAAAAAAAAGCAAGTCACACACTGTAACTCATAGACAATTCCCTTCCCCTTCCCTTTTGTACCAAGCCAATATAACACTCTTCCAAAGCACAAACATCTAATAGAGAAGAGTTTATTGAAATTTCGGACTTTCTAAGAGGATTAAGGCAGCGAAACAAGTCCAAAGGTGAATACATCACAAGGAAAAAGAGATACTAGAATGAAGAGAAAATAGGAAAAAAAAAAAAAAAAAAAAAAAAAAAAAAAAAAAAAAAAAAAAAAAAAAAAAATAGGAAAAAAAAAAAAAAACACAGCTGATAGCTAAAATGAATCATAAGCCAGAAAACTGGAAAGTGGGAGATAAGAGAACAAGAGGGAAAGCACTATAGAAAAATAATAAGATAGTTTTCTAAGAAATCCTAAGAAAATAAAGCCTTCAGGAGACAGTGTTTCTTTGCTATTAAGAAAGTCCAAAACTGTTCGTGATTATTTATGAGATAAAAATATGAGTAAATTCTATTTCTGCTCATTTGTAGTACAGCATTTCTCTATAAAAATTTTAGGTTATTTTAAAATCCAAACTTCTGTACTACTAAAAAAATATCTGAATAAAAAATGGTAGGGGCTTATAAAAATTAGCTTGCAAATACATTAAGTACCAAGTATTTATGTTGAAAATAGTTTTAAGAAAAGAGAAAAACCTGGTATCATAGGAGCACACCACCAAGACCAACTTGGTAATTTTTTTGGATTTTTGTTAAAGATGGGGTTTTGCCATGTTGGCCAGGCTGTTCTTTGCTCTATTTTTAACAAGGTAGCATAATGGCGGCAACCAACAAGCAATTTACTCTGTTGTTAAATGTATGTATAGCTGTTAAAAAACAAATAATAAAGAAAATACTCCCTTATTTTATAATAGCTTTTTCCAAGAATGTCACTTCCATACGTATAATCCTTCAGTACCTCCCCACAGTACACATTCAACAAAATCCTTTATGTTCTGGCCTCTGATTACTTCTCCAGTCTTATCCCAGAAGTCCTTTTCCTAATTTACATTATCCCTAATATTCTATTTAGTGTTCTGTCAACTCTCTCAGCTTTTACACATTTTCTTATAATAACTATCACTTCTATCTTTTGATACTAATTTGCCCAATTCTGAAAATTTACTGGGAAGGATAGGACGCTAAAAATATCTGTGCCCTATCTTTTGGGTTCCCTGGGCTATATTGGAAGAAGAATTATCTTGGGCCACACATAAAATACACTAACACTAACAATAGCTGATGATCTAAAAAAAAAAAAAAAAAAAAAAGTCCTTAATGCTTTAAGAAAGTTTATGAATTTGTGTTGGGCCACACTCAAGGCCATCGTGGGCCACGGTTGGACAAGTTTGCTTTAAGTACAACAAATTTCCAGCAACATACTCTAGTATACCAAACACAGTTCTAGCTTACCAACTCAGATACATACATTTCAAACAACATTATCTAAATTAACTCATTTTTTACTCATAATTATATGTTTTTCCTATTTCTATATTCTCTATTTGGGGAAATAATCCCATCAAACACCCAATGGCCCAAACCAGGAATCTGAAACTAACGATATATCCCTCCCATTGCACATCAATTAACTTCTAAGTCCTTCTAAGTCCTACCTACTTATCTCTTGACCCCACTCTTCTATATGCAATGACAATACTTAGGACTTTCTTACTTTTTACCAGGACTATTACTAGAGCTTCCTAAATGCTCTTTCTACCTGCAGTATTAATCTTCTGCATTCCATTTTATTCAAAGACACCAGAGAAATTTTCTCAAACTGCATATCTGATCATGTCACTTTCATACTTATAATCCTTTATTGGCTCCCCATAGTACACACTCAACAAAATCCTTTATTTTCTGGCCCCTGATTACTTCTCCAGTCTTACCCCAGAAGTCCTTCTCCTAATTTACATTATCCATAATATTCTATTTAGTGTTCTGTCAACTCTCTCAGCTTTTACACATTTTCTTCTTTATGCTTTGTATACCTTTCCTACTTTTTACAGGCTAACTCCTAATTATCCTTTAGAAATAAAATCAGTAATTCACTCTTTTAGACATCTATCCTTGACCCCTTCACCTTTAGTACTCCTTCTAAGTATAGTCTTTGTACTTATATAATATGTCTAATATTGTACTACAACATAGTACAATGGCTGTTGTTTCCATAAGATGGTAATCTCCTTGGAGTCAGGGATTGCCATCAGTTTTCTTTCTATAGCTCATCTAGCATAAAGTTTCTTGAAAAAATGCTTATAGGTCTAAAAGCTATATAAATATTTATCATACATAATGGCTTTTGGGAACTAGCACAATCATTTTTTTCCTGAGTCTGTCTACTATTGAAATTGATTTAAATCTTATATTAACCATCACTTCTATCTTTGGATACTTACTTCTTCCATATCTTTCCACATTTCTTCACATTCTCTAATAAGTTCTTCTTCAGTATTTGTAACATCTCCCACATCTGTAGTACTATCTGGATCTAGATCTTGCTGATTCATTGATATGTGCTTTGTGATGTTCTAGCCTTATAACAAGAAAAACTAAAGCAAAAAATATTTATTCATTCAGCAGTATTTGTTGAACACTTATTATCAGCCAGATACTCATCTAGGGGCTAAGAATATAGCAGTGAACAAAATAGACAAAAATCCCTTCTACTGTACCTTATTCTAATTAAGGAAAACAGACAATAAAACAAAAAATAAAACATATACATATATACTACAGTATATCAAATGATTTGAAGAAAAGACAGAGAAGAAACATAGGGAATGCTAGGGCAAGGGCAATGTAATTTTAAATAATGTGGTCATATAAGGTTACTGAGAAATTGACAACTGAGTGAAAAGACATGAAGGAGATAAAGAAATGAGGTACAGGAATGAACAGGGACAGATGGTCCAGGCAGAGGGAACTGCAAGTGCAAAAGCCTTGAGGCAGGAATATGAATGCCATGTTTCTACAGTAGTAAAGCAGCTAGGGTGACTCAGGCAGATTAAGTAAGACAGAGTAGAATATGAGGTCACAGAGACAATAGGGATGAGATCACGTGGGCTTCGTAGGCTACTTTAAGGACTCTGAGGTGATAAGCAATTAGTTTTAAACAGAGGAATAACATCATTTAAATTACATTTTAACAGTACAACTCTGGTTAACCACAGGCAGTAAGGATAGAAGCAGGAAAATCAGTTAGAAAGCTACTGCAATAACCCAAGGAAGATGTAGACCAGGATAATATTGCTAGAAGCAGCACAGAATATCCAATTCTGAATATATTTTCAAGATGGAGCCAACAGAATTTCTTAACAGCATGTATATGGACTATCAAAGAGGGAAGTGAATTATTAAGCTGCCAGTTACTGAGGTGAGAAAGATGGTAAAAGAAATAGATTTGGCAAACATGGGAGAAGAGATTAAAAACTCAGTTTAGCTATACTACAAGGCTACAGTAATCAAAACAGCATGGTACTGGTACCAAAACAGAGATATAAACCAATGGAACAGAACAGAGGCCTCTGAGGCAACACCACACATCTACAACCATTCAATCTTTGACAAACCTGACAAAAACAAGCAATGGGGAAAGGAGTCCCTGTTTAATAAATGGTGTTGGGAAAACTGGCTAGCCATGTGCAGAAAGCAGAAACTGGACCCCTTCCTGACACCTTACACTAAAATTAACTCCAGATGGATTAAAGAC